CCCCCCCCCCCCCCATTTCAAAGTTGAGGAGTACCTGGGTCCTCAGAAACACCCTCGCTGGGCACCCCTACCTGGGAGGGAAAATCATGATAAATCGCTCTTATCTTTGTACTTACAATTAATCACCTGAAACTTGAGATGAACATATTTTTAGGGCTCTATGCTTGCGGAACAGTTCTCCTAAACACTAGGTACTCAATAAATTGACAGTAAAATTTTGACAATTGGTGACATTTGCTTTAAAAGGGAAGAATAGATTGAAATTACACAAAAATGTATGCTTTATAACTTCCTTCAAAGGACCTTCTTCACTGACATTTTGCAGTCATGTCAAATAATATTCACCTTACCATACCTACTGGTTAAAAAGACATAGGTACTGTTTCTTAATTCTTTTACATTTTGTAGTTGCTTAATGAACGAGGAATTTTTATTGAATGTTTTGGTTTTTTAACATTACGTAATAAAATGTTCAAACCATCAAAAAGTTACAAGCTTTAATGTAAGGATTTTAAGAAAGCTATATAAGATAAAAATTTGCAGCCAGAATGTAAGCATTTAAAACTGAGATGACTTTTTTCCAAAACCAAAGACTTTCTCCATAAAAAAGAATTTCAGTCTTGGCAAGTAACAAAGAAAGTACAATTTTATACACCATTTGCAGAAGGCTTGATTAATTTACAAATTAAGTACTTGCGCAGGAGAATGGGACAAAATTCATGGCAGAATAGGCTACGTCAAAGAGGTCAATTTTACATTAAAAGAGCCAGGGTTTGCAATCTAGCAGCTTTGCAAGCCTCTCACTTTCTGTAACCGGATCACAAAATAAAAATTTCAATACGCATTTAATTTTGTGCATGCTAAAATAAATATGCTAATACTCACCAATCAACTTTTGGTGGTTGGTTCAAAGAAAGTGCATGATTTGTTGTAAGGTAACTTTCAACTGCGAATAAAGATCAACAATATTTTACTGCTTCGTGATTTAATCAATCAGTCATATGTTGTTAAAATTTTTATACAAACAGTTGTCGGACAAGTGGAGCCTTTCCATGCTGCCTCTCTGTGACCTCATTTTATTTTTGCTCAGAGCGGTGAGTGCAATAGACCACAACTGATTTCACCTAAATACTGCTGCCAAGTAACTGTAAACTAGAATGAGTCAGTTACCTAAGTAATTTTATCTATTGTGTCATTCGAAAGTAGTAGGTAAGTGGCCGAAGCTTACAGTTTTTTTCCTAATTATTTTTGCCCTGGTAAAAATGACAAGTGCTCAGATCAGTAGCACTTGCCTTTGAAACAGACCTAAACACTGATGTCAGTGCTGCCGGGCGCTGATCTGCTACGCCAGTGTTAAGTCTGTTCCAAAGGCAAGTGCCTCTGATGTAAGAGGCACTGACCTAAGTGTCTCCGACGTAAGCCGAGTGGGAACTCCCAGAAATACTGTAGAGGCAAAAATTTAGTTAATTACCGATCCGCCAGGTACGTTAATTCACTATTTGACGACCAGGGAGGGCTGCTGTGAGTTTTCCATCATAAGTAATCATCAAAATCTTTAGTGATCAACGCTCGTTCCCATGCGGTCTCCAATCTAAGTACTAACTCCGCCCGACGTACACTGAAAATAACGTTTCCTAAATTCAAGGCGACGCCGTGTTGACCTAAGAAAATTGGATACTTGAAAAAAGTGGACAAGAAACGAAGTCTTGAATGAAGAAAACGGTATTGCCTTGGTCGAAGAAAACGCGATTTCTTGAACCAAAACTCCTGTTACATTGAAGCACGAAAACGTTTCCTTCAAATTAGGAAACACCGCCGCGCGAAGAGTTTCCTAAAAGTAAGTTAAGTGTTGTGTTGTTTTCAGGAAACGTTTCCTCAAAAAAAAAAAAAACAAGCAGTGAACTCCAACACAATGTGTTGATAAGGCGCGTCATTAACTCACACATATCAACCCCTTTAGTTTTCATTTACAGAGATTTCAAAATAGGCAAGTAGCACAACAAGAGAATTCATACGATCCAACACTTCAACGAAGCACTTTGACGAGACCGTGTATTGTGAATGTAGAAAGCCATTCGAACGAGTTTAAGTTTTTTGATCTGCCCCCAGCAATATCTCATCAGATTCTAAAAGAAAAGTGCTACGTAATACTTAAGCAAAGAAAGGAAAAATTCTGTCAAACTCCTGAAAGATACAGTCGATTTAAAGGTATTTTTGGGGCTAAAATATCCAAATCACCGGTATCTATTATAAATCCCGATATATTATTGAAAAGAAATTGACTCGATATAAATGAAATTGCATTAAATATGTCTTGATTTTGTTATTTTAAACGTATATCCATGCAAAGAAGTTCAACCATGTCCGTGCTTTTTTCATTCATGAAATGAAAGTAAGCAATCTACATCCCGAAAATCTACCGATTTGTCGTAAAAAATTGCAGAAACTTGATATACCAGGTCGATGCACTCACTCGTTGAATTTACCAACCAATTTCGTGGAAGCAAATATATAAAAATCAATATGCTATAGTCATTTTGGGTGCATTTATTTTTCATGAAACAATAATAATTTCAATCCCGAAAAACCATCAATTTTCCGTATGAAATCGAAAAAATCGAGATGTGTCGACTCCCTAACGTGAAAATTAGATTCTACGTGTAAAAATACTTACACATGGATATGCTGAACAGAAACCATGTGTGGACACAGTTAGGATACATAGCCCCAGAATACTTTTAAAGCGCCTTTACTTTCCCGAATCTTGACGGAATTTTTTTTTGCTTAAACGACTCAAGAGACACTGTAGTTAAGAAATATAAAGAATTTTCGATTTTGACACACAAAAAAATGTTTGTTCAGGCACGCCATGTATTGTATGGTGTATTGCGCTGGTATTCAATCCTTGCCTTCCGATCAAAATTCTTACAAGGAAGCCCCTTGCAAGAGGCGAATTTTTTGTAATTTCTCCCAATTTTTTCTCCGTTATATAGTTGAATTGCTTGCCAAATTCTGAGGTCAATTATATTTAATTGTAATTTATACATTTCTTTTTTCCCCCTTCATTTTATTTTTTGTTTGGAGAAGTTTCGTTGATTTCTTCGGATTTCGAATACTGTAATTTCTCTTC